CGTAAATTCGTTCACCGATTTCGTCCTTACCATCATTACTCTTACTTCGTTGCCGGACGACACTGGCCCAAAGGGCTAGTGCCTTTCCTTCTTTTATTTCTTCCATTTACCCTGGGGAGACATCAAAGGTATTTCTTCCATAATTCCATTTCCCCAAGTAAAAAATGTAAATGTAGATTGACGACTGAGATTCTGACATCAAACAGCTTTTAGTCTTGAAAAGTGTGCTTGAACGAACTCACTGTCAATCACATTGCATGAGTCATGCCAACTTCCCACGTGCCAAGAACTGTGTGCGTCTGGATATATATTACTAGCTGTGGTAATTAGTCACACATACTTTTATTATGATCATAAAGTTTTAATTAATTTTTTAAATTAATTTTATTATTGAAAACAATTAACAATTAATAATTAATATTTATTACTACTTTATAAATTAAAATTAATTTATATATAAATTAAATAATTAAAAATATTATAAATTAATAAAATAATAATCAAATTATATATATTTTTTGAATTATTAGATATCCGAAAATTCACTAAACTATTGATTAATTCAAAATCGAGTTGAACAAAACTTAATAGGCGACAAAACTTTTTTTTATGAGTTTTAACAGAATTATATTTTCAAAATTTGAAACTAAAATTTTTTATTAAATTAAAAAAAAATTTTACCGACTCATTCATTTATTTATGGGTAAATTATATCATCTTAATAATGTGACAATAACCAGCGACGTTATTGACACCAAATATTATAAATAAATTATTTATTTAATATTATAAATTAATATTAGTCATCCCAAAGTGCATGACTCACGTAAATTTCTTCAAGAAATTTTTTGAAGAGCAAAGGTGTTTGATGTCAACATCTCAGTCGCCAGTCACGTTACATTTCTTCCTAGGGGAAATGGAAGAAATACATTTGATTTCTTCCTAGGAGAAATAGAATGAATAAATAAATAAATAAATAAAGGAAAAATTGTAGCTGAGGTTATTACTATTAAAAATTTTGTTAAAATTATTAATTTTAATTTTAATTTTACTAATTTATAATTTTTAAAAATAATTAGTTATAATGTTTTAAAATATATTTATAAACTAATTTTAATGGATTAAAATAAAATATTAATTATTAATTAAAAATTTAATTTAATCTCTTTACTTTAAAAAAAAATCTCTTTTTCGTCTTAATACTTAAAAAAAAGAATTGATCCTTAAAATTTATTTTTTGATTCATTTGTAATCTCTCTATTAGTTAAATGCTAATGTAATTAAGATCAAGAAAAGTAGATGAGAGTGTACGTTTATTTTTTTACAATAATAATGGTTAAAAAATTAGTATGAATTAGTTATTAGCAACTGAGATCTCTTAAATCGGATGAATATTTCACCATTTCAAATGAGGCGCACGATCATTAAACTACTTTTTTTATAAAGTTCACAACGATGATAAAATTCAAAACTCTAACTACCGTGTGAACTATTCGACCAAAGGTCCGGTTCGCCAGAGCGTACGTTTTCTTCTGAGTTATTCAAGTACGTTTTGGGCGGCTATCGAGTTAGAAAGTGACAATAACATGATCTGTTTAGAGAAAGTGTTTTCCTCTATGCTGGTAAAGCTTAAAGGCATTATTCATTTGTTTTTTTTTTTTTTTTTTTTTTT